ACCAGACAGAGATGAAAAACAAAGCTAATGAAGTTTAAGATTAAGCTTCAGAGTCTTTGGCATTTCTAGGCCTAGAAGGGGCCCTAGCATTATGGTATATGCTAGTTGTCTGGTTTGTAAAATCAACAAAGGGTAGTTTAGCCACAGTTGGTCCAAGGCATCTCTATGTCCATTCTGCTGTCTCCATCACTCTTGCTCTTGTATTGGGTGTCTATACAGTGACCATAGGCATATTGGGAATCTGGCTAAGGGGATATTAAATCAGGAGAAAGTAGTGTGGATTTGGAGAAACATATTTTAGGGGCTCACAATGAATTCTGAACACATTCACATTATTCCTAGCTGTCCGGGATTAAAATAACTTCCAGGAATACTCGAACTTACCATGCCTGTGCACAGTATCAGGACAAGAGGTGAGAGGCTGGAGGGAACACTGGGATGTATTCACCCAGTGAAGAGGGTGACAATTTGTCACCCAGCAGGTGGACAGAGGTTCAATCGGATGATGATGTTCAGGGCCAGCCAGTGCGTGAGGACATGGCACCCTTGCCTGGGGTTGGGGGAGTGGACACGGGAGCCTTTGGGGAAGGTAGTTTGCTGGCGTGTGTCAGCACCCCCGGGGTTTGCCCTGTGCCCCAGGCCTCCTACTGCATGTCTCTTTAGTCAGTGAGTGTGTGGTCATGTCAAGTGGCTGTATTAGCAAAATGAATTTTCCCTTTCCTTCCATCAGGGGGAAGCATCAGTAACTTGTGGGACCGCTAAAACTGGGAAGTGTAAACAGACACTGTATAAGGGTGAAAACAGACACATGAAGTTGTGCAGACATGGAAGAGTGTGCCTGAGGTGCTGGGAGTAGAGAGCCATCCCCCCACACCCCCTTGCCCCTGCGGAGAGATGTCTGGACAGGGTTGACCCTCTGTCTTCATTTGCCGGCAGTTACATCAGGATCACACCTGGTGGCTCAAAGTACAAAATATGTTGGTTCAGGAGGCCAGCAGCCGAGGTCGAGGTGTCATCTGACGTGGGCTTTCATAAGGGTTATGGAGAGTCTGTCCCATCTCTCCTACCTCACTTCTGGGGCACTGCTGGCCATGGTGGGCATGTCTGGGCTTGGAGAGCTCTGCCTTCCTCTTCACCCTGAGTTCTCCCGTGTGCCTGTCTGTCTCTAAATGTGTCCTTCGTATCCTGTTAGAGGATGGTCCATCCTAATGAGCTCACTTGACCCCCATCAGCTCTGTGAAGACCTTTCCTTTGTCTATAAGGTCACACTGATGTACATGTGATTGAGACTCCAGCATGTCTCTCTGAGGGGACACGATGTGACTCCTCACACACTACAAAGACTCTGAGGGAGGAACACATTGGAATGTTCCAAGGATGGAAGGACGGCCTTCGTGGCTACCAGGGGTGAATCCAGGGGCAAGGACAACAGGCCTCCAGGGCAGGAGCGAGATCACATGGGGCCTCACAGGCCTGTAAGAACCGTGGCTCTGCTGTGCTCTGGGAAGGAAAGGCCCAGGAGGATCTGGGCTGGGTGCCTCTGGATCCATGTCCCCATCCTCATAGCCACGTGGAAATGGAGGCTCTTGGAAAGGTGCTGAGACCCTGCTGAGGTTCAGGCCCATGGCTCCGCTCCTCTGCCTCCAACCCCTTCCAGTGAACAGGGACCCCCTCCAGGTATAAGGAATGAAGTGAGGATGGAGGTGGGTGTGGTCAGGTCCCCTGCAGTCATGGTGTATCTCTATCCCTCGGTTCCTTCTCAGGTGTTGAACAAGGTGACAGTGAGCTAGCGGGTTATTTGGGGTTTGAATTCTGGGATCCCTGCATGGTGCTGTCCCAGGCCCAGGAGAGGACAGGGAGTGTGCCCATCCCAGAGGTTTCCTTCTCTTCTTAGTTCTTTCTCTAGGCTCTGGGCAGGGGCCGGGGCATCTGATGACAGTGGAGGCCATGGTGTGAGAAGAGCTGGGAGGAAAGTGGCTCCTAAAGGTGTGGGGAAGACACCTGGCAGGGCTGTCTGAGGTCCAGGGCAGCCCCAGGACTGAGGCCAGATTTGTTAGCATGGATCTGCATTCAGCAGCCCTGGGCTAAGATGGGGATCTGCAGAGCATGGGAAAGGATGGCCCAGGAGCTGAGGGGTGGAATGGGGGCTGGGAGTGGGGGAACCCAAGCCCAGGACTGTTCCTGGCTGTGCTGGGAGAGGACCAGAGCCCAGCCACTGCACTGTGAAGCAAGGGAACCCACCGTCCCTCCTCAGTGCTCCCAGGATTTCAGGGCCGTCTGTCTTGGAACTCATGTGGCACTCCTGTGCCTCTCTCTCCCACTGTCCTGCCCTCCTTCCTGAACTCCCCACAGACTCCATTGATGGACGAGTCCTCTGGGTCTCCACCCCCCTATCAGTGGACTGCATAGAGATGGATGGAAAGACCCAGGCTTCTCTGACCCCCTGCATTCTGTGTCAGCAGGCTTGGAGGATGCTTGGGCATGTGGGACTGAGGTCCAGGCCAGGGTTGTGAGCTTGGAGGCCTCTGTGTTAGGCTCCTGACCTTTGTGGTTCTGTGTATCTGCAGCCACGTGAGGCCCTGGGAGCCCTGGGAGATGAAGTTCGGCTGTCTGTCCTTTCAACCAACAGCCTTTGCACGTTTCATCTTATATAGTGTCAAGCCCTGAAGAGGCAGTGGCAGCCCATGCTATGCAGACACCAGCTCTGTACTATGGCTGTCCACATTGCACAGTGGGACTGGTGAGTGCGGCCTGGCGGGAAGTGCTGGAGCAGAGGCTGGCAATGAGCCCTGCCCAGATCCAGGCCTTGCTGTGGGACAGGGACAAGTTCGACCTTGGAGTGATTGCAGGCAAGTGATGCCCTTCCCCGTGCTGCCCGAACGACCCCAGTGCTGCCCTGGGTTTCAGCCAAATTGTGCTCATTTGTTTTCTGTTGAACCAGTTGGTGGGGTGGGGGGGTGCTGAGGTTTCTTCAGAGAAACAGCAAGGTTCCCCTTGTCTGGGAGGCAATAGCCCAAAGTGCCTGACCACCTCTCTGGGCCTCAGTCCCCATTTGTGCTCTAAGTCAGAGGCAGGTCCATGTCTGTATGTGGCACTTGCCTGTGTGTGTGTCCCCATGTGTGTGTGTGCCCAGCAGAGATCATGAGAGGCAGGAAAACACCCAGCCTGGGTTCCCCACCCCCACTGCCTGTTGCAGGCCCCGAGCAAGTCACCTGACTCCCCAGGGGTGAGGCTACACAGCAATACATGTCTGTTGGTGAATTTCTTGTGGACCTGATGCCCGCAGGCTCTCCCCGGGGCCCTCCTGCTCTGTCCTTGTGGCCTGTAGTGGTCAGACTGAGAGCTGCCCATGGCCTGGTGGGTTTGTGGAGCACCAGGCCTCTCCCTTCCATTTTGCTTGCTCCCTCATTTGGCCTTGCACTGAATTCCCTTTGCCAAGGTGAGCCCAATGGAAATGCTTATCCAGAGGAACCAGTTCATCTTGGGTCCCCTCCATGATATCGCCTTAGTCTCTAGCAGGCGTGACTTTGAATCATCTTGTTCTCCTTCCGTGTCCTGTTTTGCACGCAGGTCCCATGGACATTGGGGACACTTTGCTATGCCCAGAAAACCTAGACCCAGTGAGATGGAAGAGGTGGAGAATCAAGCCTTGGTACCTGACCTTTGACAAAAGTACCTGACTGTGCTTGCCAACCCCCGCTGGCTGCTGCAGCCCATCCCTGGGAGGGATGGGAAGGACATCTTCCTGGTGGACATCCTCGAGCATCTGATTCCCTTTGGGCAGGAGGCCTGTCCAGGCTGGGCTCTAGAGAGGAAGGTGACCAAGATACCAGGTCATGGTGACACGGTCCAGTCACCACTGCGCCCTGGACGTGCCCGTCTGGTTTGGTCTGAATCAGCCCCACCCTGGGGTGTGCTTCCAGCTTGGTGTGGGTTGGGGAACCGGGGCAACCCTCGTGTGGTGCTGCTCTGGACTCAGCGTGAGTCTCCAAGACTGACCTTTATGATAAAATGGCGTCATCACTCACTTTGGCCCTGCTGGGTCTGGGTGGTTGAAAGAAATGTGTTGTTGGGAAACTGCTTAGTGTTTTTCCTGTCTGTTCTGGTTCAAACTCCCCAATGTTGGAACAGTGTCCAGGGGGTGAAGGGGAAGGCTGGGGGTGGGCCTGAGCATCAGCAGGCAGAGAGGCCGGCAGGCCCAGAAACAGGCTGCAGTTTGTCCTTGCAGGTGACCCTTGCCCTTTTCTAATGTGCCCCTTGGCTCACAAAGGGTGTGTGCTGGATGCGGTTCCTGGCCACTTCACGTCCAAAGACAGGCTCCTAAATATACCTGTGAGGGCAGAGTGACAAGGGCTGGTGTTCACCTTGTGGAATCCTTGTATTTGTCTTTGGGTTTGGGGTCATGTGTTTGCAAGGCTTTGTGGGTGGGGTGGCCCTGCTTTCCGGTCAGCTTCTTGAGGTGAGGCCCCTGGATTGACAGCTGGAGATGCTCAGCTGCAGATTAGAAACTTGTGGCATCAGTGGGGGGCCCAGGAGGAGCCCCTTCTGCTTCAGGGTGCATGACTCATGGAAGGTGACACCCCCCAAGGTCAGGAGCCCAGCTGGGCCAACTGCTGAGCAGCAGGCAAGGTCCAGTGACCAGCCCATCCTGGGCTGGCCTCAGCACTCAGCTATTGAGCCAGATCCTTGGCAAAGCATGTGAATTGCTGCTGCTTCAGTTGAAAAGGGATCACAGGGACCAGACTGAAGCCTGCATGGGGTGTGGGCTTCCAGCCTCATCTGGCTCACCCTGTATCATGTGAATAGTGCGGACAGACAAAAAGAACACAGACTCACAGTTCTTGTCAATTCTTTATTTACTCCTGTGGAGATTTGCTCCACTTTATTAGAACCAGGACTCGATTTTTTATTACAAGAGAGTACTTTTGAGTGTCCCTAGGAACCTGGGAGGTCAAGTATCGGGCTTGTCCTTGACCTGCTCACAGAGGCCACACTTGTAATCAGGATTCTCCCTGCTCCTCCTCTGCTGAAGGGGCCTCGTTTGGAGCTGTGACTGAAAGGGCCACCATCAGGATGGAGGAACAGGTGTTGTACAAGGCCATTACTGAGTCACAAGCTGGGAACTCCAGGGGGCTCTTGGGCATTTGCCCTGTGCTCTCCCTTCCAGAAGTAGCCAGCTGTACAGACGTGGCATTGCTAGACGTGCCCTTTCCACTGGGGCCACCCTGCTCGCTGGGGAGATGGTTTGCCCTAGCCCGCCCAGCTACACTGCCCATAGACCAAAGGTGAGAGGACACAAATGATCGCCGGCTGGGGGTTCTGTGAGCAGGTGGGGTTCCCTTCTGGACTTTCTTGCCCACCTGTTGGTGCAAGTTGTGGTGGAGTCGAGGAGAGTGTCTAGTCGCCACTGCTCGCTTCTTTCTCTTTAGGATGTTCTGCAGGAGGAGAGGCTTGTCTCTCTGAAAATTGGAGTTGTAATAGATCTGAAAAGAAATGAATCACTTGAGACAGCAGGGGGGAGAAGAGGCCTTCCTCGCTGCCTTCCTCCCTAACACTGTCCTGGTCATGTCTATGTATGGAGACAAGTTCTCTTCATTCTGGCAGGTTATGAGGCCCTAACATGTTACTCCATAGAGCTCCCCTGGGGCCATCCTCCCCTGAGGCTTTACTGGCCCTCCCTGACTTCAAATGGCCCCTCAGGGTCTAGAGTCACCCCGGTGGATCATATCTCATGGGGGTGGAGGAACACGACAGACCCTGGTTCTCCTCTTTCCTTAACCACCCTCTCATGAGAACAATGTTCTCCTCAGAAATGAAACCCATCCAGCACTCAGGTCATCTAGTCTAGCCTCCCTAGAAGGGCTTTCTACATTACCATCAAGTTATTCTCTGCAGAGCAACCCAAAGGGCAGATTTTAATGAAATCACACAGGTTCAGTTCATAGATGAAACTCTTAATGCTGTCTGTCTCGAAGATCTGGCCCATGCCTCTGCGCAGAAGGACCTCTGTCTGAAAACGATCTTCCTTGATGACCACCATGTCTCCCTCGTCATTCCAGTGCACAGAGGTGAAGGCCAAATCCTCCACGATCCTCCAGAGCTTCCTGGGGAAGGACAGCCCGATGATATCATTGTTCTCTTCCTCGGCCATTTCTGGGTTCTGGCCCTGTGGGGGCAGGTTGTCATGGAGGCCTGGATCAGGGCTCTCAGGTTGGTCACCCTGCTTCTCCAGAGCCTCCCCTGAATGCATGTTTGGATCTGGGGAGGAATCACAGGGATCCCCTGCTGCGGGCTCCCTATCAGTAGATGGGGCCAGTGGGGCTGCCCATGCTTCGTGGGAACTCTGACTAGCCATGGAGCCAGTCTAGCTCAGGAGCATTATCTACCCAAGCATTGAATGCTCAGTGCAGAACAGCCTCCAAACCAGGGTTGGGGTGCCCCACAAATACTCTCTGGAGACTCTAGAATCTGGGTTGTGGGCTAGACAGCCAAGTAAGTGGTCAGCTTCCTCAGTTTTTCTCATGATGTCACAAAGGTGATGTGGAGAGGCAGCCCTGGGTGAGGGGGCCTGGGGATGGAGATGGGATCCCCAGCTTGTCTCTTGTCTGAAAGTACAGAAAAGTTTGTTTCTGGTTGCCTGCAAAGGCTCCCATCTGCTGCCAAGTGCCATGTTTCAGGGAGCCAGGCCCTGGATGGGTTGACAAACGTGCCCCTGGCCCTACCCTACCAATGTGCAGGCCTGTGGCTGGCTTTTGCTGCAGGGCCAGGTCCTGGCAAGTCCTCACTCAGCTACCACTGTGAGAGATTCCAGGGGTCCGATGGGCCTGTGGCGACTGTCCCTCCAAGATGATGGGATCCATAGCAGGCCGGTCAGCCTAGCCTGAGTTGGTGGTCCCACCACCCCCACCCCACTGGCCATGGCCTTTTCCCTCTTCAGGCTTTGATCTCTTCTCTCTGCTGCTGGTGCTTTAGAAAAGGACAGACTAAAAGTATAAGAGGCAAGAATTCACTACAATATTTTTTTTTTATTTTATTTTCTAATTCTTCCACCAACTATATACTGGTAAGTAAGTTTGCCTGTGCAAAATAATTGTAATCCCAATCCATGTTACCTTGCTCAGGTTCAAAAATAAAATGGGACAGTTTTCAATCTCTTTTAAAAAACAGCAAAACTCTGGTCCTCAAACTGGGTAAGTACAAATACAGTGTGATCAATGCCATTCATGAAGTTAGATATTGAAATTTATTAAGTTTTCAGCCAAAAAGAAAGAAACATTTGAACAATTCCTAAAGAAAACAGATGAATCTCCATGTCATCAGAGAGAACAGGAACCCAATACTGCTACACACGGGATTCCCCCAACTGGCCCGGGCCCTCACTACTGAGAAAGCTGACCACTCCCTCTTTAGTCACAGAACGAAGGATCACCTGGATGCTCCTCTGGCTCATGGCCCATCTTCCTCCTCCCTCTCAGCCTCTGCAGACAGGGATGGGAAGACCCTGGAAAACCTTTCATTGATCCTGAGCAGCTACACTGTGACTTGCCACTTGCAGGTCTCCACATAGGCCCAGGGACCCCACAGGAACTCATAGCGAGCAGGGTCGCTGTCAGGCACCTGCCGGTACACTAGGCAATCCTCCTGCACCCACACGTGGGTCAGCAGCTCCCTGGGATCCCCAAAGACAGAGTGCTCCTTCCCAGGACATGCCCCCATCCTGCTGAGTGTTTCCCAGACCACTTCCTCAGGGGCACAGTCTCCATTTCGGATGATCAGGCTGAGGACCAGCACCCGGAGGCCAGCCTTGGGCACGCTCTGCGCACTGCTCTGCATTGCTTCATAGGCGAGGCCCAGGGTGGGGACCAAGATGTAGATGTGCTCTCTGGGGTCCACCTCCTTCACCGCCATGCCAAAGACCAGCTGTAGGCACTGGGGGGCTTTATGGAAAACCATAGGGAAATGGTCCTGATTATCCGTGAGGATTGTGTTCAGCATTGGGTCTTGGTGATTAGCTCCTTGGCACAATACTTGAGGAGCAGGAACTTCACCAGGTTAGCCATCATCTCTTTCAGAGCTTCCTGGGGCAAGGCCTCTGCAGGGGTGGAGGAGACTGGGGGAGAGGAGGCTGAGGGGGTTTGCAGCGTTCCCCACCTCAGACCCCAGGACCTGTGCCTCTACCTGGCCCTGGGCATCACCTGGGCCCTGAAGGTCTTCCTCAGGCTTGCTCAGCTCACTCATCTTGATCCCAAGTGTTATGCCTGCCTGAGATGGAACCACAGACAGGAGAGAGGCAGGGGAAAGATGCAGACCACGTCTTGAGGAGAGAGGGGGTGTGAGTGGTCTTACCTGTGAAACGCACCCTGGGAAGTCTGAAACAGGCCACTTACAGGTTTCTTCTTGAGGGGTGCTCTTCCAGTGAGGCTGGACACCTGGCTACCTGAAGGAGGAGGGGTGGTGTCTCCCAAGGGTGCAGTCAGCACAGCCAGAGGTTCCTGGGCTGACATGGTTTGGGCATATAGACCTTGTAGTTTCCCCTCTGTTCTGGGAAGGGGTGCCCCTGGTGCACACTCAGGACACCCTCCTCGCCTTGACTCCTGGCACTTTCTGGACCTCCTCTGCTCTCTGACCTCAGGACATGGGCCTCAGACCTCTGCTTCACCTCCTGGTTCCTGGAGCTCCTGTGAGAGACATGGAGGGGACCCCTGGGAGGTAGACTGAGACATATCCCTGGGCTTTCTGTGCTGGTAGGAGGGGTGGACTTTGTGAGGTCCCCCCTCCCAGTTGTGGGGTAGGAAGTCCCCTAAGGGCTCCCTTGTAGTGCTCACCTTTCCCCTGGCATGACCTGGTCCCTCCTCTTTGGAGGCCTGTAGGGAAACTCAGAACAAGACCCGAGTCTGAACAGAAAGCGCTGATGGGCCCCACGTGTGTCCTCACCTGCCCAGGGCCTCCTGTGGGTCCTGGTCTGGGGAGATGCTCGGTCCTCAGCTCCTCCTCACATCCCGCCTGGCCTCCTAAAACTGACCACAGGGACAGGACAGGAGTCCGCTTAGTTCTCCCTCTGTATCCGGGGAGTATACCCTCTGCAGACCTGAACACTCCCCACTCTGGCCTAACATCTCAGATCCTGAGGTCCCTAAGCCATAGATCAGGAAATTGCTCATGCTGCTCTGGGGCCTCCAAGACCCCCTTCAAAGGCAAGGATCCCTCCCTGTCTTAAGGTCTAACCACCTCACTCATTCCTCCTGTGGAGCCTGGACTCCAGGCAGGGTCTGGGATTGTCCCGTACACCATTTCGAGACCTTTCTGCATTCATGGAGTCCTCAGTCTCTCTGAGACCCCCATGTCAGGAATTCGACAGGCCTAGTGTGCTCATCTCATACCAAGGTCTCCCAGGGCTGACTACAGGGGCGGGGATCTGTGGGGTTCTGTCAGTCCTCATGCAGGGTCCCTTCTGTCCTCTTTCAGGCACCTCACCTTGCCTCTTGGGAGGACCTGGGATTCTCGCCTCTCCCCAGCTGAAGCTCCGCCCCTTATACCAGGGTCCCAGTCTCTCCAAGACCCAGATGTCAGGAAGACAGACCATGCCTGTTGCATTCATCCTACTCCATGATAGCCCTGAACTGACAACAGAGATGGGCTTCTCTGAGGTCTCCTCTAATTGGGTCCAACATCCCCTCAGTCCTCCCTCAGGGTCCTTACCTAAACTCCTTCAGAAACTAAGAATCACCACCAATGTCTGAGGTCTCACCCCTTATATCAACTCTCCAGTGTCTCTGAGACCCAGTACTCATGTCTACACCAGAGTCATCCCAGGCTATCAGAAGGTTCTGGGACCTGTGGGTTGTAAGTCCCCACTGGTCGAGCAACTTTAGACTCTTCCCCCAGGAAGGGGAGACATTCTGGAGGTGTGTGGGTGGCTGACCTGCCTTGCCCTGCCCCTGGGGCCCCTGAGGGCCAAGGACTCAGCCTCATTGCTGTCCAGCCCAGCCTCTATGATGGTCTGGTTGCCACCAACCCACCTACAACCCCCCAGAGCACTGCTCAGAGGCCAGAGGTGCTGCTTGAATGAGGCTTGGGCATCCCCAGGTTTGCTGAGGGCGGGAGTATGCAGAGTTCATCATCTGGGGGGGGGTTGCATGAGACCTCCAGAGCCCCCCTGACTGGGACCTCAGACCCTGGGGGTCGGGACCTTCCTTCCCTATCCAGAGGCTCAGCGGATGGCTGAGCACCTTGCTGCCCAGTCACAGGACGTGCTTGTGGGGTTGGGCGTGGACAAGACCCAGGCTGTGGTGTCTCATCAGCCTCCCTGCCAGTTTGTAGTTCAATTCATCCCAGGGCCTTGGCTCATAACAGTTCCCACAGAGTCCCAGGCGGTTCCTCCTGCACAGAGTTGGCACTCCAGAGCACCACCAGCTTTGCTCACCACAGGCTAAGCCTTGTTTCTGTCCTTCAGAAATCAACCTCTTCCAGCCTCCCCACCTCATCCCTGTTTGGCCAAGTTACCCCCCTTTGAGAAGCAACAGAGCAAGGAAGCCCAGGGGATGCAGGGGTCACAGAGAACCCAAGATGAGCACTGGGCCAAGGGAGGCTCGGGCAGAGCTGGTGGGAAGTGAGTTGGCCATGGATCACTGGCTCCCCAGGGTCTGCCAAGCTGGGCCTCCAGGGTCACCCTTACCTCTTTGGAGCACTTGTGGGGCATGCCTCATCTCTGAGACACGCTGTCTGGTTGAATTGCATTTAATTCTCCTAAACAATGTAGCCTGTACAGCCTTGGGGACAGAACTTAACCCATACTTCTAGAGTCGCCTGGCCTCTCCTGTTGACCTGGGCTCACGTGTGACATGAGACAGTTTGACTGTCCATGGCCAGCCCATCAAAGCCATGCTCCCTCCCTACACTCCTGTGTGACCTTAGGCTGCTAACTCTGCCTGGCCCCGAAGGACGTGTGCTTAGCCACTTCACTCTGCAGACATCAGTCAAAATCTACCAAGGACTGAGTGGTGGGAGTGAAGTACCACATGGGTCTCTTTTGATGTCAGGCAGCCTTAACTTGCTCAGGGAGCCCCTCTTTCTCATAATCTGCAGCCATTCTTTCCCATAATCCCCACCTCTTTCAAGTGCACTCCCAGAGGACCCCAAGTATGCACCCTATTCAGACAGATAGAGGTTGCCCTGTGGTCAGAACACTGCAGGAAAATAAGAGCCCGAAAACACAAGGGATTTCCCACCTAGCAGATGACTTGAGATTGTGATTGGCTCATCTCCACTTTCTCTATCGATTTACAGGTAAGCAGGTGCCACACATGCTGAGATTTCTGGGAACGTGATTTTTAAATAGCAACATCTGCAGGTGAT